ATTTTTATTGTGTCATTGCTTGGATTAGTGTTAGAGTACGGACAGCCTCAGCTCCTTGAGCTTATTTAAAGTACTTCATATTTTCCATCAACAGCTGTATAGAGTTAAAGGGAAACAGGCCATGGGATTTCTCTTTCTCAGCTAGTTTATTTGTGAGGTGGTGAGGTTAATGTGGCAATATCCCATGCTTAGTAGAGAGGCTTTTTGGCTTTAAGCATTGTATGTTCCCTTCAGATTTATGATTTTGACCCCAGCCTGGCATTATCACACTATCAGTGGGAGTGCAGAGCTAGTTTTGAACCTCCAGCTCTTGGTGGTAATCTCTCTTAATTAGTTTACAGTTGAAACAATTGTCCGTCTTTTTGCCTTTAAAGAGGGGAAGTTTGCTCTATCAGTGGTTGATTTCCCTGAGGGAGGAAATCCTGAGAGAGGTTATCAGGCAGAGAAAAGCTCCAGGCTCCACTTTCAAAGCAGCGCCATGTATGAGGCATGCATCAGTCCTGTTAGTACTGCGTATTATTTCACAGTGGTGTGTCAGGAATTATGGGCACAGACCTTTATAAGGACTCTTGCAGACCTTCATGCACGCTCATCCTGAGTCAGGATTTTGTGGAATTACGTGCTAATAAAAGCTTATTTTACACATTAAATTGCATTATTTGAAATTGCTCTTTTAATTGCTGATCTTTCCCAGACTTCTCCACAGATCTCTCCGAGCATTCTCATTGTCGACTTTCTGCCAGGGAGCCCTCCATGCCTCATCATTAGGGCTAAAATCTGCCGTCACTTAACACACAGAGCTTACAACTAGGAGCAACCCCCCCCCTTGCATGGGAGCACAGACAATAATAGATGCTATAGTGGCAGCACCAATGGGAGTTTTACCATGTATTTTAATGACTTGTGCTTGATTACATTTGCTAGATTGGAGGAAGTTCATTTAGTAATTGGTATGATTCTTAGCGGGTTCACATTTGACATTCCTCGCTCATTAAAGAGCTCCAACAATGGCTGTTACAACTTTCATCTCAATGGTGACCCTCTCAGATACATATCCAGTCTTTTTCTTTTGATAAACCGCCCAACCGGGCATTCATTAACACTTAACCATCTGCAGCCAGCCCCTCCTAGTACCTTCTCCCTTCCTTTGATGATATAATTAAAAGCCTTCTGTATTATCTCCCTCAGAGTGGTAAGTCTAGGTGCGTCAGCTCTCGGCACATGCATTGTTTGTTATTCGATTCTCTCTGTATCAGCTGTTCCTCACGACAGGCTCATTTTTCATATGTTGTAAAGATTAGCTGATGGAGTGGGAGATCAGAGGCATGAGAAGGCAGGGTGGCTTTTGATATTAGTAACCAGATGCTCATTTGAAATGGTGATGGAGTTTGCTGTTATCTGTTAGATTATTTGGCTCCTTTGCTTTTACCTGTAGATAAACTGGTTTAAGCACTAGTCAATGAAAATTAGCATCATCTTTAGTGGCTTGTTATGATAGAGTGCTCTTATCAGTCTGGTTTGGTGTGGCTATTCTCTCCTTGAGTCTGGTTTACAGAAATCGCAGCTTTGTTTATGCATGTGCCCAAACTTGCCTGTTTGACCTTTGAAGCTGTGATTATAATATTAATCTAGGGGACTATTCTGTTGCAAATCACTTAGGTGGTCTGTATTTCAGAGGATTTTCATTGTGGGACCTCCCTCTTGTCCAGCATGATGTTCCGTTATTGTTAGTATATTCTACATTGAAAGCTCAGAGTGGCATTTCAGTATGTCTTGTTTTCTGGCTGGTTTTTGTGGGGGTTTTTTGTGTGTGATGGAGCTGCAGCTAGGATAGCACTGTGCTACTGTCTGTCCACTTGCACTGATTTTGTATAACTTTGTTATAAAGTTGCTTAGCTACAGAAAAACTCGGTACAATACTTGCATGCAGATACAAACTTCAGTCTGCAAATCCTCAGTGTCCTGCGGTGTAGCTAAACAGAGTTATCCCAGTTTGCAGGTGGGGAGACTCTATGTGTCAAAGCTGCACAGACACTGGCAACAGAACCAGCATCTATTGAAGATTTCCTGTTTTACACTCTTCTGCTTTCTGTCTAGCCATTGCAGCCTTCCCCTGCCTCATGTTTAAGAGGGGCTATGATAGATTTTTGAATAGGGAGAGAAGAACCTGGCATTCTGGCACTAAAGAAACTGCGTCCTCTTTGTCATCTTCAAGTTAAGAATTGGGTTTTTTCCTCCTATTTTTCCCTCTCCTTCCCATGTTGCATCCATTTCAATTTTTTTTTAATGTTTCTTGCCTTGTTCCGTTGTTTTGTTCATTTTCCCAGCTGTCCTTCCTGCTCAGTTTCTTTCCATTTGTGTCTCTCATCCATTTCAATAAACTACCGTATTTGTTACATAAATACAAGGGAGCCCTTTTTCTCAGAGAAGATATGAAAGTTCTCCCTCTCATAAATACACAAAATGTGGAAACCATCCTCAGGATGCAGAGCAGGAGGGAGTCTGCTGACTTCCAACTGCAAGACCTCATTAAAATTGGTGGATTCCCTATCCTCTTTGCATAAGGAACATTGCTATTTGGGCTGACTTCCACAGCAACATCTGGGCCACTGATAACATCAGTACTGGAGCATTGCTAGGTGAGCTCATGTTTTGTTAATGAAGTAATCTACTGAAAGTGCATATATCATTTTTTAGTACTACATACTTTACTGCAAAGTGTTGTACTACTATTATAGGAGCTTTCCTTTGCAAGTGGGACTTAAAGAATTTCGTTGGAGTTAATAATGTGCTTAGCTTGAATTGAATGGCATGCCTGAGAAATGCCACCTAAATTATAAAATGTTAAGACCTAAATACTTTGGTTGTTCGATGCATTAATTGAGAAATACACTGAAAAATGGCTTACTAGAACATGTGATATTCTCAGTAGCTTTGGTGTTACTAAATATTCAGTATGCTACTGGTGGTTTACTACATACATAAATATATATGCATGCCCAAGTTGTGAGTGATCCCTCTGCTGAGCTAACTACATAATAAAAGTGATCATGATCACAAACATCTGTAATGTGTCTGGAGTATGCGAACAAAGGTTGGATGGAGTATACCGGTAAAATATGTTCATTCAAACTCCATTATGAAATCCAGGCATTGAAGGAGGAAAGATGAAAACAAAGACATTTTCAGGTGTGGATTGACATTTCTCTCCTTAATAGCCTCTGGACAACTGCACTGTGAGTGCAGTTACAGATCTCTTGAACAGCCCAGTGTAGTCCCTGGCTGTTGTTTTGTCTTTTTTAATTTGCAAGCTAAATATTCTTGTGGCTTTTCTGTCCTGAGAACTAGTGGTGACTGTTCAGACAGCCAGGACACTCTCAAATGAGGCTATGGTGTGTGGAAGGGAAAGTAATATTGACGTAAGGTATCTAGTTCCTTTGAGACAGGTTGCAAAAAGGGTTTCCGCTATCTAAGAGCAGAGAGTGCATAAAGAGAAGTAATGGAAGTAATAGATGAGACTTTATGATTTAAAACTTTGTTCTTAAAATATTGAAGCTATTGGAGATTTCTGAGTTTCTGATGATGTATTAACCTGGCACTGGTCTGGCTAATGATGAGCAGGAGTTTTACTTATCTTTTCCACCTTACTGGGCTGGATAGGCAAATGCTTTGTAATTGAGCTGTGGCAGTCATTTGTAATGTGTAGTGTAGGAAAGGTGAGCAGACCCCTTCTCCTTCCCCTATTCCCCTCCAGGAAGTGTTGGAAAAAACACAGTAGTGTTGTGTTTGCTAGCAGAACATGCACAGCCTTGCATATTAAGGCAGGCACTTAGCCAGAAGCTTTGAATTATTGTACCCTGACATTACCCACTGTAACTTTTAGCACTCTGGGCCCATTACTTTGGCTTCCTGCCCAGTAATGTGCAATTTCCACTTACATAAGAAGATGTAGCAGGAGTAATGACTCCTTGGAGGAGGTGTTTTCTTTCGCAGCAAATCAGCCCAGGGCCAGCAGGTGTAAGTTTATAGACACAGTCCAATAATGGCAGCCTGCACTGTTCTCCTCTGTTAACTCAGCAGTAGATGAAAAGCAACAGATCTACCTTTGCACACTTTTCACTATCCGCTGACTTAATTGCAAAGTCAAACTCTTGTAAATGGCCATGCAAAGCTCCGTGATTTTCCTTTTTTTTTCTTTTCCAGGCACCCCAGAATGCACATCAGAACAGGGCTGATGGATGCCCATCTCTACTGTCTGAAGAAATACGTGGTAGATTTCCTTGTAGAAAACAGGTAAGAAATCAAGCAATACACAAGGTAATAGCAGGTGTTTGCATTGACATATGGTTCGTATCAGAGCTGTTAAAGGAAGACTTATTTCATTAAATTGACAAGCATAAAATAGAAATGTAAAAGAAACCAGTTTTCAAAATGCTTTAACTACACTAAAAGGAATGCCAAGCATTATGTTTGAGTTTTATTCAGACCTTTTTTAAAAAAAATAGTCTAATAACAGCATAAGTGAAAGCTAAAATTCTTTCTTCTTTTTCGCATCCCTTCTTTTCCTTTTGGCTGCTCATTTCACTAGGACTCCCCCATTGTTAGGGCTGTGAATACATTTCTGACCTCTGATTTCCCCCACCACAGTCTGTTTTGGCCTTTGCAATCACCTTTTCTCTGCCCCTTCACATCCACCACCACTGCAGGTGGGCTATCTCTGTAGCATCCTATGTTTTTAGCTTGTGATGTTCCTCTGTCAAAACTCTGAGACCACCCACTGAGAGTAAGAAAAACATCCATTTATGGAAGTGGAGTAGGATCTTAGCTATAATATTTCATTAAACACAAAAAACACTGTTTATTTTTAAAAAAAAACAAACAAATGAACAACCCCTCTCACAGTAAGTAGTTCAGTTTTGGAATGATGTCCTGTTCCTAGACTTTTTGTAGCGCTCTCATGCCCATTACATATATTGAATGCTCACTGAGCTCTCAAGAGTTTTTCTCCCCTTTTCAGTAAGACGAAAGATAAAGGAGCTAAGTGTTGTGTTCATAGTGCTTTTTCTTAGCAGACTAACTGATGTGAAAAAACATCAGGGAAGAGGGGAGATTTGTATTAGTCTTGACCGTATACAAATCTGGTGATGCAGTTGGATACTTGATTGAAGGAGCTCTTCCAGAATAAGGTTGGTGAGTGAGTTAAAATTAAGCGCAAAATCTGTGTTAACCCCAGGGCAATTTCCTACCATGCATAAGAATAAAGCTTATCCAATACGTTGACTGGTACATGGGGGCATTGTACGAGTCATCTTGGTTCCCATTTGTGTATGGGAACATGTCTGAAAGGTGAGAAAGCTTCAGGAGCAGCAGATGCTTTAAATCTGAAATAAGCCATTTATTCAGTGTATTTTAGAAAGTCAGTGACAGTTTGGACTTCTTGTATTTGCTGTGGTAACATGAAGCACTGGGGGGTTTTTTGTTGTAATACAACATGTAGGACTCTTTTCTTGAAATCCTAGCCATCTAGTTTTACTGGGATTAAACATTTCTAGAATATTAGACATTTCACACATTTGATTCTTTTTCCCTGGTATTTCACGCTGTTTTGAATTTAGATCGTTAGGTCTGTGCGACAAGGACGGTCTTTGTCAGACATACCACAGTGCATGCCACAATGAGGCCTCTAAATGTAAATAGTAGTAATTTCAGATTTCAAGGCTTTATGCTATTTCCATTGAAACTGGTGAGATCTTTGGCTTTGTCAATGGCACGATTTTACCTTGTATTAACCAAAGCCAGCAGAGCGAAATCCTGCTCTGAACTCTTCCAGTTCCCCCCAGGTCCCCCTAGAACAAGTCTACTGACTTTTTGCAAGTATGACCAGTCAGGGTTTTTTGTTTTATATGGAGAGGTCATTCTCTGTCTTCACTATTTTTTGAATCTGTGGTGTTTTTCTGTGACAATTCCACGACAAACACATAATTACAACAGCTAGACAGCATTGCTTAAGACCTGATAGCAACATCTGGCTTAGTAATGGCAGGTAGCTGCTTCATTCTCTTTATTATACACAGGCTGCTTAGTCAGCCAGTTGAGAGAGTCAGTCAATTGCAAGTGATGTGCTTAACTGGCAAATCTGGGGAATGGGACTTTTGCCATGAGGAATAACTTGGGCTTTCAGGCTTCTGGCATTGGTGGACATTTGCAGCTTGTTTTTCTTCTCTGAAGAAGGGGAGGACAGTGCATACCCAAAGATCTTTCCATGTTTGGCAGCAATATCCCAGGACTTTTGAAAGACCCTGTGGAATAGTTTTGCCTCAGAAGTACTGGCATCTACATAATTGTTTGGGTTTAAGGATTCTTTTTAATACTTTGTTTTTTAGTCTAGAGAGAACCTATGGTAAGATTTTGCCTCTCTGTAATTCTGCACCAGGACTGGAGAAGCTCAGATGCCTTGTTTAAGTTGTGCATGCTTAAAATTAACAGCAGGGACTGAAGCGAACAGTGAAGCTCTTGTGCGGTGCCAGGAAGTACTGACACAGTGTACTTCCTCAATATTACAATATTTACATTGTGTTAATATTTTAACAGCGGGATTTGATGGCAGGCAGAACACCTTTTTTCATTGTTTGCAACTCAGTGAAGCATTTACATTTTTTTCAAATTTTATTTTGACATACAAAAGCAGAAAAGATGTTACCCAGCAGTAAAAAATTCAGATCCTACAACTGGCTATAGCTCAGCCTTTTGCAGAGAAAAATTATCATTACTTCCAGGTCAAAGAATTACATGAAAACTAATGTGGTTATGTATGTGGGGTCTGTTGCTTCAAATGGGATAAAAGCCCAGTGTAGTCCCAGCTTAGCTGTAAAGATGAGGCAAGAAAAAGCTCTCCCCAAGTGAATGTAGTTTGTATATAGCTGCACCTGTAAGGGTAAATTGCATTCCTCCACTTTGATCAGATTAATACATGCAATGTAAATGCCAAAGTCACTAGCAACTACTATGAAAACACAGAAAAGAGAATGTGAAATGGCTAAACCTTTGTTTTGTCTAAGTATATGAATCTTGCTTTGGGATTTGGGACAACTTTGTCGTATGACACCTCTGGAAAAAGGCTGAGTTCAGCTCCAGAATGAAGTTGTGCTACCAAGGCTTTATCATCAGCTCGGCCACTGTCTTGCTTTGTGGTACTAGGCAGGTCCCTTAATTTTTCTATGCACTTGTTTCCTCTTCTGGATGGGATTGTTTGGAGAATAATCAGTGTGTGTTTGGCAGCAGTGAGATTCTACTATGGGGGATGTTAGGAGAGGTCAAAATAATGTTTGGTAGTCTGTAACTCAGTTCGTAGTCCTTTAATGTATTTTTACGAACTATTTTAAAAGGACTGAATAGTAGATTCTCCTGCCTGAAGTTTTATTGCACTATAGCAAACCAAACAAGTTCTTGAGGTTTAAAAAGCAGAGATCACTAGTGCCTTTGAATAAAAGTCAGAGGAAATGGTCTGTTTATTAGAACCTCCCTCAAATATATATGCCCAGACAAAAATAAAAAATATCATGCCCCTAATGTTGTTTAAACCTGGGGAATTTATTTTTCAGGGAATGAAACTGCTTTCTCTTTCTTCTTCTAGAAGGAAAAAAATGTATTTTGGCAGTTAAAATCCCCATCTCCATCTATCTCTCATCCACTAGTTCAGCACTGGATCCTACTGAAATTGAGTCTTCAAGGGAAAGACAGTTCTACCCTATCTGAATCTACCAAGGTCAAATGCTTATGGTTCCACAGTGGCTTGGGGAACAGCTGACGAAATTCTTGCCCCTAGCAGTTTGTTATTCCCTGCAGCTGGAATTTATTCCTTCTCTTCTCCCCACACTCCTGCATCACCAGGGCAGGTTGATTATCTAAGTGCTCCTTAATCGGCTCCAGTGCACTGGCAGCCTCTGCACAGGGGTGCCCACAGGAGCCCTCAGAACTCTGCCCTGGGATGGACATCTTCATCCCTGCTTCCGCAGTGGATACCCGGCGCTGGCAACTTCTGGGTCTGTTCCCACTAGATTCACAAGAAGTCACGGACCGTACCCTGTTACCAACCAGATTTATCCTGTCTGAACAGGGACAGTGACCTCAATGTGAACAAGCAGCAGCTTGTTTGGCCTGAATTTTCTGCTGATTATAACTGTCCCTGGTTTTGGGGTGTTTTTTCTGCAGAGATCTTTGGTTCTTTCCCAGGTTCCTTTCTGCGTCAATGAAGTTACAGTTGCTGAAGTTGATCTTGGTTTGGCAGATGCACCAAGTCTCCCTATACTGAGGCGAGAGCTTTTCTTTCCTAAACATTTTGTATTTCAGAATAAAGCTAACCTGAGGACCTTATAGGTGTTGCACTTTGTGGCGTGAGGAAGACAGGCGAGCGCAGACCGTGTGTGTTGCAGGAGCTGCTCTGCCAACACAGGGCAGGGATAGTTGAAGGTGAACACCTGCACTGCATGATGAACTGCACAATATTGCTTTTCTTAAAAGAAGCATTACATGAGCTGAGCCAGCAGGCTAGACAGAAGCAGAGGCTGTAGCTGGCTGGGGGCAAGGGTCCCCCCCCCCCCCGGGGGGGCCCACCCACCCCTGGGGCCCTGGGGTGGCAGCCAGCACAGTAGCCAGTCCCTTTTTTGGCACTCTCCTGAGTGCTAGGTTGGAATCCTGCCTCGCTGCTGCATTCAGGGCAGATTGAAGAAGAGAGTCCTTATTCCCTTTCCCCTGCAAACTTCATCTGTAGCGGAGGGCAGGATCTAGGCCTGTACTTTGTGAGCCTGGCATGTTGCACAGACATACACGGATATTTCTTTACTATGTGCTGACACTTGGCTTGCTAACAATCCCAGCAAAGCTGCTAGTGGAAGAAATGTGATCAAAGTGAAATTGCATGGTAGTTTGTGTTCTGTTTTTCCAGAATATTTCTAAAGCTGTAGTCTGGTGAAATAAGATATCTGATTTGGGGAAGGGCAAAGGGGGAGATAGATATGAAGCAACTCCTTCCCCTGTAAAGTTTTAATGTGGAAAATTTAAACTTGCTGTGAAAATTTAAGTGTTGAAGATGTGTGTCTGTATGTATCCTGTGTATATGCTTAAAAGCACATGTAATATGCATTTATAATATATATATATGCATTAATGGCATTGTGCCCACAGTCAGCTGTGCAAGTATAGATGACAACATTTGTTATATGTGTAAGGATTTCACCCTGCTCACAGCTGAAACCTGTAGACGTGTGGAAGCTGCCATTTTCACCTCTCATTGA